AAATCTACATTCATAACAGGAGATTTCAACTTTGATCTTTTTGGAATTGACAATGACAATGCAACTTTGGACTTTTTCAATACCTTTGCATCATATGGATTTTGGCCAACAATCTGTAAACCTACTAGAATGTCAGAACAAAAAATGTCTCTACTTGATAACATCTTCTGCAACAATCTGAACATTATTTCAAATACAGGTCTAATACTACATGACCTCTCAGATCACTTCCCAGTATTTGTTTCCTGCTCACTGCAGCTCAACAATGACTGCTCACATGGGATGAGGAAAATATTTGACTACCAAAAAATAGATGAATTTAAAGAATATCTCCAAGATCAGCTTCATGATTTTTTCTACATAGATGATGCGACTCAGGCCTCGAACACTTTAATTAATGCTTTCAAATCTGGCATTGAAAAATATAGCAAAAACATACAATGTACAAGAAAGACAAGATCGATAAAGCCATGGATCTCTGCAGCAATACTAACATCAATAAATACTCGCAATGCCCTATTTAGAGCTAAACTGAGGAACCCAACACAACAAAATAGGACTGCATATTCCAGGCACAGGAACTACTTAAATCTTCTTATTAGAATAGCCAAAAAGAAATATGTACAAGAGCAACTAAGATTAAACAAAGATGACTCGAAGAAAACTTGGAACCTTCTCCATGAACTAACCAAAGGCAGATTACATAAAACTAACATTCAAAAACAGTTTGTAGATGAAAGTGGTAACATTTTGCATGACAAAAAAGACATTGTAGAAACATTTAATCAGTTCTTTACATCTATTGGAAGGGATTTGCAAAATGCTATTCCAAAAAATAATGTGAATCCATGTGGTAATGTTAAAGCTAATGTAACCAGAACCATGAAGTCTTGGGAACCTCTTACTAACACGGATGAGCTGAATCAAATAATAAAAGAAACAAAAAATGTTGGAGCTGGCTTGGACAATATAAATGCTAGCATCTTCAAGAAAAGCTATTTACCAATACTAAATCACTTAGTACACCTTGTTAACCTGTGTTTGACTAAAGGAATATTTCCGTACAATATGAAATGTGCAATTATTAAACCTATTCACAAAGGTGGGAAGAAATGTCATATGAACAATTATAGACCCATTAGTATATTACCATATATTTCAAAAATACTGGAAAAAATCTTACACAAAAGGATTATGCACTTTCTTACACAAAACAAAATCCTCAACAGCAGTCAGTTTGGGTTTCAAAAAGGGCTGGCCACTTATATGCCTTTGTTGCTTTTACAAGAGCACATAACCAATGTATTTGAACAAGGGAAAATTGCAATAGCCATCTATTTAGACTTCAAAAAAGCGTTTGATACTGTTGATCCCGACATACTAATAGCTAAATTAAAACTGTATGGTATTCAAGATGTTGCTTTAAAACTTATACATTCTTATCTCACTGGTCGACAGCAACAAGTAGAGTACGATGGAGTAAGTTCAGAATTTATGCCAATCGAAATGGGAGTTCCTCAAGGCTCGGTACTTGGACCGCTTTTGTTTTTACTTTATATTAATGATTTGCCAAATGTCTGTAATAACGCCAAATTTCTTCTGTTTGCTGATGACACGGTTGTGATATTTGATAATACAAATACTGCAAACCTACAAAATGACCTTGACGCACAACTTCCCACCTTATGTGAGTGGTTGAAAGCAAACAAACTCTCATTAAATACAAAGAAAACCGTTTATCAACTTTATAGCAAATCACATACCAATGCCAAAATAAATGTTACTTTGAACAATGATGATATTCCTGCTGAAGAAAAAGTAAAATATCTTGGTGTGATTATTGACCCTCACCTAAATTGGAGTTATCATATAAATCACTTGAGTTCCATCATCAGTCGTAACATTGGCATGCTAAATAGGTCCAAATTTTTCCTTGACACTAATTCACTGAAACTTCTATACAATACACTCATCCTGCCCTATCTCAATTACTGTTGCCTCGTATGGGAATTCACTTTTCCTACCTACTTGAGGAAGATCGAACTCCTGCAAAAAAGAGCTGTGCGCATCGTTGCACAACAACATCGGTTGGCTCACACAGAACATCTCTTTAAAAACCTAAAAATTTTAAAGGTAGACGCCATAGCGAAACAACAGCTGCTTGTGTTCATGCATAAGAAACTCTTGTGTAATTTACCTGAGAAATTTGAAGATCTCTTCATCTTTATAAATTCGCCCAGCATAACAACCAGAAGCAGAAATCACTTTTTTGAACCTTTCTCTGAAAAACTTTACCGGACTCGTGTAAGTAAGTGGATTGGGCCAAGAATCTGGAATGCTATAATTGCTCCTGATTTTACTCTTGATTCTGCCTGTGAATTGTCCAAAGACAATTTGAAAAAGTTTACAAAGCATTACTTCCTGCATACACCCCTATAACTGTCATTGATATTATTTGTCTCTACATATAAAAGTTTACTATCCTACAACGTTCGATCAAGATCTTATTATCACTGCCTTAGACCTGTACTTAACCTAGATTGTATGTTACAGTTCTCTATGTACCGTGATGTTACCAATCTCACCCGCAACATGCCGTCTTCTGGTGCCCATTCCACAACAAGCTCTGCTTAGTGGATGAGCACCGGATGACGGCAGACTGACTATGCACGAACCTGACCAGCCCTTGCCTCTGCCCAGCATGAGTGTGTGAGTGTCTGTGAGTGGGTGTGGGTGTGGGTGTTGCGTGTTTGTTTGCATGAACTGAGTATGGTCTTGTATGTTTGCATGTTAAACTGCATGCTCCTCTCCCTGCCTTCTTCCTGCATCCGATTCTGTTCTGCATGGTGCTTTATCATACTATGGGGTACTTGTAGTATCGGTATAGCGGACAGTCATTTGCTGGATTTGGCGTGACTACTTCTCTCTTTTGCATGCTAGATAGTAATTTTGCCTTTTGTTTATTTCACCTTCTTAGCAGGGAGTGCCGCGACTAGTACATACTCTTATGTTTTGTCTGGTGTTAACGTAAGGTTCTGTGAGTCGCTGGGACTGCGGTGGGGGCACTCCTGGTCATCTGTTCATGGGTGACGGACTATTTAGAAAAAAAAAGTGTGACGTCAGCTCGCGCAATTTGATAGCAGCATGGTAGCAGCAGCCCGTGAAACACCGCCCAGGTTTGATTATGTTTTTTCTTTTATTTCCAAGACATATAAGTATCATTTTTGGATTCAGGATGTCAAATAATGTAAGAATATGAAAACTATCTTTTAACAGTCACTCGGACTCAATGTATACTTTTACCAATGTTTCCATGGAATACCAACACACCGCTACACATAGGGCGCTGCCATGGAACAGTGCCTAGGCCTAATAGCTTTCACCAAAAGAACATTACAATTAGAATCACACCTTGATCTCACATCAAACGAGCCTCAGACCTCTGATTTGAAGCAATGATGACGCTGCTGTTTGATTCTAGAAATAAACCATTAACAAGACACAGCATGTTCTACTCATAAAAAACATTTGATAATTTCATTTTACCCTTGCCTTGAATAAAAAAAGAAACAAAACATTGTGTGGCCCTGAACGTATGAGCAGAGATAACAAATATGTGAATACTGAATAATCTACAAATGTTGAGATAAATGAGCGCAAAATTCTCATTAGGTATAATATCTGACGAAATAAGTAGAAGTTTAAATACCTCCCAAACCATCCCATACCAAAACAATCCAACACACGCAACAGTGCACGCAACGCACGATCCACACCAATTAATTGAGACAATTATGGATGACTGTCGGCAATATGTGTTCAAATCGCCTGTTCATGAGCAGTACCGACAACCCAATCGATCTAATTGAACAAAAAATCGACCAATCGGCGCTCGCGGCAGCATGATGCTAATTGGCCGAAAGGCGGTGACGTTTTCAGAGGGTCCTCAGTCGTTCAAGCAAGATTACTTTGCGTTCAAGGGGAGCACCACGGTATATAAAGAACGGCATGGAGAGCACCTCTTATACGGGGTACCAGTGAGCACCCTCTAAAGTCTCTCTAGCGGCAGACCAGGCCCCAACATTTCAAAAATAGTGAATCCTCTAAAAGGTCCGCCCCAGGTTCAAACTGATCTTTCCCTGGTGACCGAGCCCCAAACCCTTCAAACGGCGTAATAAGACTTTCCATGCTTCAAGCTGGTATACATGCGCCCCACCCCAAAGTTCTCGGAGTCGGAGAGCTCCAATTGGCCCCCGGATGCAAGCAAGGCTATTGGCAGCTCAAGAGAGTATTTATACCGATCTCGGGGCCCATGCTGGGAGTGGGATACCCTACCTCAACCTTGGCTTTCACGGGTCCAACACGCATGACATCTGTGCGTCCGATGCAGATATGAGACCTCATGCTGGCTCTGAGGTTGCCATGTCGACACGGTGCCTGCACTGACCTCGATGATGACCCCATGACATCCCCCCTCAACAGCTTCACAGCGTTTTTCAAGATCTAAATCCGGCTTCTCAAAGTACAACGTAGGCCTAACTTGTTCAAAAGTTTGCACACGAGCCTCTCACGAGTCTAAAGACTCGACTTGGAAACGTGATGGTTCATATCACGTTTAACGTCGCACGACAGCGAGCTAGCGAAAGTGTCGTTTCTTACACTCTCCCTAATCCCATCTACCCGTCATATTCTCTAAAAGATGTAGATAATAAATAACGTGCATATATTTTCAACATAGTTCCAGATGATTCATGATATCTAAAAATTCAACAGTAATCTTGAGTACCAGCTATCCAATGCACGAAGGCGTCAAGTTGCTTTACGCTTGGACAATCAGTAAGACCAGTAAGATCAGTAAGACGAGCCCGTCTTCTACTTTTACACCCAAGCAGGTTAACAAGCTTCTACGAGTGATGATTGAAACATACGATAGGCGCGACACGCCTGTAGCGACTTTATGTAGTATTGTGACACCTTATTTGGTCACGATGTACCCTCACGCCGATTATGTAGAATTATGTTTGGTCAACGTCGTCAGCCTTTTACAGGTGCCGGCCGTTCGGAGCGCCGCTCGCCGGGTCTAGCTGACCGCCCACCACCGCTGGCCGGATCCTCGCTGGGCGCCGCGCTGAGCTCTGGTCACTGGTCAGGCAGCCAGTCGTCGAGTTGGAGAGCCCGGGATTGTCGGCACTGACCAGACCGCGATCAGACGCGCCAGCACTCGGTTATCCTCTGGCTCCAGTCTCGCCAGGATCTGGGGACATGTTCTTTGATCAGGTGTGTATAAGTAACATCCTCTATAGTATTTAGGGTCTCCAGACTCCAATGAGGGCAATATTCACCTTGACCGACCACCTGCAAAATAGCTTTTGTAATTAACACCGCTCGCGAAACGCCTATCTGCAAAAACACGAAAAACATGCGATTATTATAAATTTGACATCTCACGGCAACGTCCAAAGATCCACAAAACATTCGACATCTCACACCCTATAGCTGTCTCACACACCACACCGGGAGCATGACGATTGCGTGAATTTCAGCGGAGCCTTTGCATGTTCCACTGCTATCATCAGGGAACAGTTAGATACCCGTGGATTCATCTGCAAGTTGATCTGTCCATCTTCGCACGCGTGCGACGTGAATCTCACCTCGTACGAGCTTCCTCCACCTCATCTGCTAAGCAAAAAGGATAGTCAACATCAGGGGCGTCGCCACATATTTTTGACCGGGGGACGGATTAGCCGATCAAAATCTCCAAAAGTAGGTATTGTTATCGTACTTCTTATAGCCGATTACCTCTACAATGGCAATGGACTATGTACTTACCTACAGACACAACAATTTGAAGTCCAATTTATTTTGAGACGGTCAAAGCCAAAGCCTCTGATCTATCAAGGCATAATTATTGAAGAATGCCACAAATAAGATAATGCATATACATTATGCAATATACTATACAATATACATACATGTTTCTGCCCGCGTGGGGAAGGAACGTTATTAATAACAATGCCTACTTTTATTGGGTTATGAATCGGCAGCGCGCAGCGCCGCAAAATTGGCAAAAACACTTTGCAAAACAGTTCCATAAACTCATGAAAACCAGGGATGCGGAGCCGGAGCCGGTGCCGGAGCCGGAGCCGCCGGAGCCGGCATATTTTGGCCGGAGCCGGAGCCGTGAAACAATATAGCCCGGAGCCGGAGCCGGAGCCGTCAAAAAAGGGGGAGACTCCGGCTCCTTTTCAATTATTTCAATTAAGAGGAAACAATTATTTACCTAGTTCGGTTTGACAGTACAAGGCGTAAAACAATGTGGTATTCAAACTAGCCTTGTTATACAAATAGGGGAGAGTGGGGTAATTTGGCCGGTGGTGTAAATTGGCCGCCCCCACCTGTACGATGTCTAATAAAAGTGAGTTAAATAACTCTAGTCTCAATTCATTTGTCATGGGTAGAAATAACTGGAGGACAAATGTCAAAACTTTACCCCTCGTAGTTTTATTCAAAATTAATAAAACGTTAACTTCATTAGAAAATGGTAAATTTTACTTCTGTTTACAAAGTTGTATAACATGTAGTATTTGGGCTCAAAACGAATTCAGACATTATAGCGCCACTCTTGGGAGTGTTCCGCGGTTCCAAGAGCAATTTCATCTAATTCCGTACAGCCGTGATGACTTTATACACAAAAATTTTTAGAATGGCAATATGGGGTAATTTGGCCGGGACTAGCGGGGCAACTTGGCCGGTGCGCTCATGGTCACTATGCTGGGACGGCCGAGTTTTCATGGTCAATTGTACCATAAATGACATGATTCATGACCAACTTTGACTACTTTGATGCCTTACTTCCGATTGGTCAACTGTAAGAGCATGTGACGTCATCAAAGGTTACCAAACGTTTTTTGCTAATAAATCCTTACATAAAAATGGTACAGCCGCACAAATGGTCTCATTCTGTTCAGCTCGCCAAGGCGCATCGAATGATATGCATGATGACCTTGAAATCACGTGACCTTGAGGTCAAGCGACCTGAGGTAACGTGACCTGAGGTCAACCTTTGAGCTTGACTTCTCGAGGTCAACACATATATGTTTCGATGCGGAATGACGCGAGCATTACGATGGTACTCGAAGTTTTGGCCTAGCTTGATTATTTCAAAAGTTATTGTAAAAAAAACTGTCTTCGCATCTAGAGCCGCTAATTTGGCTATTTTGACCCCTGTGACCCCATGAGTCAACCTCCAAAATGTGGTAAATGCGTCATAGGACACACGTCATTGCTGAATCTGAAGCTGACTCGCAATATAACAGAAAATCCCGACCGCAAACTAACACCGGCCAAATTGCCCCACACCCCCGGCCAAATAACCCTGCTAGTGGGGCAATTTGGCCGCCTTGCAGACCTTTGTAATACGTCACAATTTCAATATAAGTAATTACTCTATCATTTCAAGGTCACTGTCCAGTAAAGTAAAATGAATGCGACACCTGTCAGCGTTGAGAAAATGCAGAAATGTGTCGTCAGTTTCAAGTTACATCGTTTTCTAAAAAAAGCGGCCAAATTACCCCACTCTCCCCTACAGAAGCAACGTGTAGGGTAGACCGGGGCAAGTCGCCCCGCCGAGGTAAAACGCCTCACCGATGTTTCTCGGAACTGGCAAGGTTCTGGGGAAACATCCTCTCTTCTATAAAACGTTCACTATACGATCATTATATGAGCAGACTGGAAAGAAATTGTGATGACGCTTTAGGGAGATATAGCCAAAAATGTGTTTTTGGAGTGATTTTTATGTTTTGATGTCAGATTATGCATCATGGCGTTCTTTTATCGTCCACATCAGGTTAACGACTTTTATGTATTTTGAACGACTATTGTCTAACGCTTATAATGCCGGGTTGGTTCGTGTTAACCCTATTAGTGGCAGGCTCCTGGCTACCCCATATTAGTGGCAGGGGGGGGGGCTGTTTACGACCCCCCCTTGATATCTCGAGATCTAACCGGCCGATTTTCAAAATTCAAACGGCATTCGATTTGGCTCAACGAGATCTACATTTCTAAAAAAAGTAAAATTAAAAAATGTCAATAGGGGGGTAGAGGGGGGTAAAAACGGGCAAATTACAGATACATTTTAGACTGTTTATCACGGCCAGGTTTCTGAACCAATCTTAACGCAACTTTTGCCGATCGATAGAGAATGAACCAGGAATTCACATGGATCCTAAAAATATGCATTTTCAAAAATCATAGGCGGATACAGATCATTGAGATTGGGGGTACACAAAAAGTATAGTAAATAAGGTTTTTGTTGGTACCGTTTCTAAAAAGGGTGGCAATGGTCTTGTTATGTTACAATTTTCTTATGAGAGAACGACTAAAATTGTATTGGTCATGCATAGGCGGTGTCAGAGCACCTATGTTGGGAGGTAAAAAATAACCCCCCTTTTTGGACGCCTGGATCCGCCTATTATAGCAAAAAAGTGTCAAAAGAGGATGCACAATAACTCTGTATATGTTATCACATGATACCTTTCATTCACTGTTCGTAAAACTGGTGCAGCATCGTGATCTTCGCCCAAATGACTCGCTTCACGAATAGGACCCCCAATTCCCAGTGCTCTGGAGCCGCCCCTGGTAAAGTTATGAACTTGAAATTTTCAGGGAATGTGCCCAATTTAGTTTTAGGAAAAGTCAGAAAATTTCAGCATCGTAGCTTCAGCGGTTTCGGAGATATTCCCGAAAAACCTGAGGGGTGGATAAAAACAACCCCCCCCTGCCACTAATAGGGTTAAATTATGTCTTCCTGGAGTGCAAGGCGTTGTTCTCTGACCGTACTACGTGATGGGGTAAAATGCCCCAGTAGGTCGCGGGGCAAAAAGCCCCATGGGGCGTTTTACCTCTTGTGTTGTTCGGACTACCCACTTCCTAATGCTCGGTAGCTGGCGAACGGCATGTTTCTATGCATTTATATGTACTTTTCTCAGCAACTGGATGGCAAAGGAAGTATTTTGTTAACATTTGCATTGCAATAACTTATTATTTGGCCTTCTGAGGCAGGTGAAAAAACTGCTCACACAATAGTGTCGTAGCTGAACACCTGATAGGATGGAAGGTGCTAACTTCAGTGCCGTGCCTCCCAAGGTCTAACGGACCTCTCATATAAGATTTAGTCAACTAGCATGTTTAATCTTTAATCTAGAGTATGGGGCTTCTTGCCCAGGCCGTGGGGCGTTTTGCCCTGGGGTTGGGGCAAAACGCCCTATTTGCAGTTGCTTCACAAATCACTTCCTAGCTGGGAGTCCGATCATAAGTGAATGAATTTGAGGGGTGGAATTTGTCCAAAGAACGCATTGAGCACAAATTTGGCCTTCCAGGTGATGTGGGACAAAAGTTATGTAGCAAAATAAATTATCTGGGGCGTCTTGCCCCAGGCTACCCTACCAATCCCATCGCCTTTTTTCTTCCACCCGTATTTAATTGATCGCATAGGGGATGTACTGCGTAGAAGCCGGAGCCGGAGCCGCCGGAGCCGGATCATTTTACTCGGAGCCGGAGCCGGAGCCACCATGACATTTCACCCGGAGCCGGAGCCGGAGCCGATTCTTTTTTCTCCGGAGCCGGAGCCGGAGCCGGAGCCGTCTGAAATTTCCACGGCTCCGCATCCCTGATGAAAACTGTTACAAGTTTGAAGTTTGATGCCTCCACACCTAAAGTCAAGTCACCGAATCAAGTAGCCCTGTCTCTAAAAACATGCGTGGCCCTGTCAACGATACAGTTTATTTCCTAGAAGTTTCAAACCTTGTGTAGTGTGCCTTAACCCTCGCCCGCACATGCCATTTTCCCATCCTAGAACGCACATGGGGGGGGGGTTGCCACCCCCCCCGCGCCATTTCGTTCCTGTTGGAGATAGAGCTTAGCAGTAAAGACCAAAAAGATTCTTTGGGAAGAGACAAATCCAATGATACCCAGTTTTACCTTCTCAGGTCAGTCATTGACCTTCCAGGTCAGGTCAAACTAAAAAATGTTGCTGTTTTGGGTCACCGTTGGATATCAAGTGCACTGCTTATCAAATACCGATGACGATGCTGTTTTCTGGTGCCAAGCCAGCTAGAACCTCTTTGTCACACTATCCGACCAGAATTTTGCTGCTGAGGTCATTTCAGGTCAAGTTAGGTCAAGGTCAATTATATGTGTTTGTATGTCTGTGTGTGTCTGTGTGTATACTGATGTGTGCACCGATTGTTTTTGGGTCCATATCACATGAAATCATGATCTGAGAAGCTTTTACCAAAAATGCAGTCAAAAAACTTCACAAAAAGTAAATTCAGCTTGCCTAAAACGCAATTATCTTAGATGACCTAGGTTGACCTTGACCCTGACCTTGACCCCTGTACAGCCCTCTGCAAACTGCGTGGTAGGTATTCTTTTTTCGACAAAACCGAGAATAACGCGAATACTATGCTATCGGTCACTCGGAAATCGTAGCAGCAAGATGCGCGAGACTCCCCACCCTAGATTGGCATTATCATCGTATACCTTTTCCACCCAGTTTGGCAACAAAACCCAAAAGTTTAGCTTTGCCCCCAAAACAAACTTTTGGATTTTGTTGCCACACAAGGCGTATACTTCGATTAGTGATAGACCTAATCGAAGGAGTGGAGCATGGCGCATCTATTTGCAGTGAGTTCCGACCGACTGATAACATAGCCTTTGAGTTATTATCGGTTTTATCGGAAAAAGAATACCTACCACGCAGTCTGCTGAGGACTGTACATCGTCGAACAACATGTTCCATGATAGGTGGGAGGTAAGACTGGCAAAAAAGGCCGAAATCAGGGTGTCAAAAGCTCACAAGGCCCATGGCAAACGCAAGATGTTGAGAATTGGCCATTTGGGTCATGACATGACCTGAAAAACAAGGTCATATCTCCGAAACCAAAAATTACAGAAACTTGAAATTTTCAGTGGACATCAAGAAAGGATAGACGAGCAGCTATACGAAAAATCAGCCTTCTAGCTCTAAAAATGTTGAGTGCAGAGCAGAAAGACTGCCTGGGGGGGTGGCAACCACCCCCTTGTTGTTGTTGATTGGGGCTTTAGGGCGCGTCGACTGCAAAGGTCATTTTGCGCCCATAACGTCGCGCTAGTAAATCAAGTGTTTCAAAAGAAGAAACTTTCTAGATATCAAGA